TTCGTAAAAAATACTAAAAACTTAATAAAAAATATTTTGATAATAATAATTTAGTTTTTTTTCAAAAAATAAAAAAAAAATAAAAAAATAAAAAACTCAAAAAAATCAAATAAAATTCAACGCCGTCTCTGCCGCCTCTGCACCACCCACCTCCAGTCACCAGGGGGAAAATGTCAAGTTCATTACGAATGCTATATTTATGGCAGAAAACAATGAAAATGTTGGCATTCTCAAAGAGAAATATTCCATGTTTTTTGGTATTTTCAGAAAAATGGAAGTTTTTAGGAAAAATGACATTTTTATCACCGGCCGGAGATGGTGGTGCAAGGAGGTAGTACAGGCGGTGGGAAAGGCGTCCATATTTTTTTAATTTTTTATGGAGTTTTACTATTTTTTATTAATTTATTTTTTTTGTAATTTTCTTAATAAATATTTTATAATTTTTTAATTATTTTTCTACGCATTTTTGAATTTTTTTCGAATTTATTATGAATTAAACATTTAATTAACTCATATTTAAAGGAAGGGTAAGAATGAAATGAAAAAATAGGTATGTTTCCAATAGGACTAATATGATCCTATTTTGAAAAGAAAACATAGTAAATCCTATTTTGAGTTTTTGCCATAGTTTTAGTCCTATTTGGAGTAATTTCTATATAGTCTAGTGTACACATTGAAGTGAATACAATTATGGGATAATGCTCAAATTTGACACTATGGTTTCATCAGAATCTCATATTGGACACTAAGGTTTCAAATAGACCAAATTAGACACTATGGTTTCATTTATATCTAATATTGGACACTAAAGTTTCATAATTCATAGTTTTTGGACACTCACTTATATTGGATAAAGATCAAATTGGACACTCACTTATATTGAATTATGAAACTTTAGTGTCCAATATGAGATACATATGAAACCATAGTGCCTAATTTGGTCCATTTGAAACCTTAATGTCCAATATGAGATTCTGATGAAACCATAGTGTCTAATTTGAGCCTTATCCCTACAATTATTAAGCAGAATGAATGATTGATCCGTATATTCAAACGAGGATTAATGATATTTATATTTTATAGTTTATCACACATATATTCATTAGGACATGCACTGAGATTATTAAGTCCTTGATTAGTTTTTCTTTGACAGTAAATCTCAATAATATCCCATCATTAATATTGTTGGGTCGCGAGTATGTGGTGCCAACAGTCTGCCAACCTGCCTTTGCAATCGGAACGCGCCACTTTGCATGTTCTATATAAAGGGGTAAGAACGTGCAACACAATCATCAATTGCTTTTAGTGTAACGGTAAGCGCAACGATCCACACATATACATGTGTGGCCCTTCTAATCTTTGCACTTCATGTTTTGAGCGATATTAGACTTTTATTGTACATCATTTTCAAATGATCAATGTGTGCACTCAATCACTCAGAAAATTTTGATGGAGTGTGGTGTAAACTCAAATGATTTTACAGTGAATTAGGGTGCACAGATTAATGATTTTAAAAATACGATGCAAAGTCAAATAGCATCCAAAATATAGAGTGCAAAGTCAAATTCTCACATTAATTAATTATCATCTAGCCTAGGTGGTCATGTGTTGTGTATTCACATGGTCATTGCTCGCCTTCCATTAATATTGAATTTGTCAAAGTACCATAAGCTAGGGGACAGAAAAACCGAACCTAAACCCCAAAACTGACCCTGGCACGACCCGAATGATGGTCCTGGCCCGAGGTTTTCTTTTTAACTGGCTCGAATAAAAAAAACTCGTCTCGAACCCGAACATTCGGGCTCATTAACGGGTCTAAAATCTATAACGCGGTCCATGTATGTGCCACATCATCATCAAATGGATGATTAGACTTCCACATGTGTGTCACGTCAGCAAATTCATTGCAGATTGGACCGTCATGTGTGCGCCACGTCAACGGGTGATCGACCTGCTGACATGACAAGTAACCTGCAAATGGACTCAATTGAACATTTTTATAAAGTTTGGTTATTCGGTTGTTTTTTTAAAAGTACGAGAACCTAATTGACTTTTTCGTGATAGTACGAAGACCAAATTGACAGTTTTCTCAATTCTTTATTAATTTTGACAAATCCCGCAAAAATACATGTCAATATTGTGTTTTATTATAGTGGTATATCGCAACTTGAGTAGATAAATCATGTTGAGCTCATTGTGAGAACTAATTATCACTTATTACTAATGCATACTCCGTATTATATATTGACATACGTGTTTTTTCATGACTCGACTGAAATGGTTAGATAAAAATCTAGTTTATGAATGATTTTCACCTATTACGTACACGGTGCTACACCCATGTTACTATTATTATGTGCATGATGATGCTACGTTACTAACAGAGGGCTTGAAATAGCTTAGATGTCTTCCAGTTTGTTCTTAAAAAAGAGTAGTAATATTAAATATTTTGAATTGAGGGCATTGATTATAGGATGGATGACCCCTGGGAAGTCCTCGTGTTGCATCCCCCACCTCCCTTTTTTTACCCGCACGGGTAGCTCAATTGATCGAGTGGTGGGAGATTTAGATCAATGGACCAAGGTTCGAATCCCCACAGTGATCGGGTGGAGGTCACAGAACCTGAAATAAGGCTGGGCCTCTGGTGCGCACGGGTGTATGTACCTACTGTCATTCTGCTGACTGAGTCACCGTGACCAACCTCTCCACCATCCTGTCGGGTCGGGTGGGGGGTTCCTGGGGTGGGAGATTCCACCTTTTGGATCAATTGAATTGAGGGCATTGAGATTTTCTGATCGGTTTTGTTTTAGTCTAGCTCTCTTAAATTTGGAACAAACAAAAGTTTTTTTTATTAGAAGAGTATTCACTACAAATAGAAGCATATAGTGAAATTTGCATTTCACTATTGTCAAAATATTTGAGTAAATATTTGAAAAGTTTATTCATTACAGGTTTTAACAAAATACAAATTGAATATTACTATATAAAATCACACCTACATATAGATAGTGAAGTAGTGAACAACTCAAATTTATATATAGGTAGTTTTTTTAGTGTCTAATAATGCAAATTTTAATTATACAAAATTAAAGATTAATTGTTTTCTATGTAAGGTTGAACATGCCAAATATATTGAACTGGAAATACCTTAGTTTTCCCTATTGCGCGCACAGACACTAAGAAAATAAACATCGTAGGGAAGGAGTATAAGTTATGGTAATGTAAGGATTTCATGCCCGTATGCCACAAAGTTAAAAGGATACAAGAAAAATCCAAACTTATATTACATTCGAATTGAATTAGATAAAACCAACGATCCATTACAAGAACAAATGCTGCTATAGATATATAAGAAGCTCAACAATCCATTTCCCTCTGATGGCACAACAACAACAAAATGTGAAAGAGAACGGCAAGAGAAAAAAAGAGAACCAGTCATTTTTAAGGCTCTACACACTTCACAATTCAACAATGAGGACGTTTTTATTGAACAGATTAGTAGCCCCATATAATTGTTGCTTAACTCTTCTCTTCTCGGAGCATTCACATTATTTTTACCATCACATACTTGACAAGGTGCGGAGACCGGCGGAGTTACTTGTGCTTAGTATTGTGTTGGAGGTGGTGGAGAAGCATAAATATACACAGGTGGAGGAGACTTCAATGGTGGTGGAGGCGAGGTGTAGTGGTATGGTGGAGGAGGAGATGGTGATGGGGGTGGTGGCGAATGATAGTAATAGGGAGGAGGAGGAGATGAAGATGGTGGTGGTGGGGATTTGTAGTGATAAGGTGGAGGGGGAGACGATGAAGGTGGTGGAGGGGACTTATAGTAATAAGGTGGTGGAGGAGATGGTGAAGGCGGGGGTGGGGATTTGTAGTGATAAGGCGGAGGAGGGGATGGTGAAGGTGGTGGAGGGGACTTGTAGTAATAAGGTGGTGGAGGAGATGATGAAGGCGGGGGTGGGGACTTGTAGTAGTAAGGTGGAGGAGGTGATGGGGATGGAGGAGGTGGAGACTTGTAGTAATATGGCGGAGGAGGTGAAGGTGATGGAGGAGGAGGTGACTTATAGTAGTACGGTGGGGGAGGTGATGGCGATGGAGGTGGTGGAGATTTATAGTAATACGGTGGTGATGGAGGTGGTGGGGACTTGTAATAATAAGGTGGAGGAGGAGATGGGGATGGTGGAGGCGGGGACTTATAGTAATATGGTGGAGGAGGTGAAGGTGATGGAGGAGGAGGTGACTTATAGTAATAAGGTGGGGGAGGTGATGGTGGTGGTGGTGGTGGAGATTTATAGTAATAAGGCGGTGGTGGGGATGGTGATGGGGGTGGTGGGGACTTGTAGTAATACGGTGGAGGAGGAGATGGGGATGGTGGAGGTGGTGACTTGTAATAGTAAGGTGGAGGAGGTGATGGAGATGGTGGTGGAGGAGATTTGTAATAGTAGGGCGGAGGAGGTGATGGAGATGGTGGCGGCGGAGACTTGTAATAGTACGGTGGAGGAGGTGATGGGGATGGTGGAGGTGGAGATTTATAATAGTAAGGTGGTGGAGGTGATGGCGACGGGGGAGGAGGAGATTTGTAATAGTAAGGCGGGGGTGGTGACGGTGAAGGGGGAGGAGGAGATTTGTAGTAGTAAGGCGGAGGTGGTGATGGGGAAGGGGGAGGAGGGGATTTGTAGTAGTAAGGCGGTGGAGGAGATGGAGATGGTGGAGGAGGAGACTTGTAAAAGTAAGGTGGGGGAGGTGATGGGGACGGGGGAGGTGGATATTTATAGTAGTAAGGCGGGGGAGGTGATGACGAAGGCGGTGGAGGAGACTTGTAATAGTAAGGTGACGGAGTTGGCTTGGGCTTGGGCTTGGGCTTTTCGCATTCCCCATGAGTAGGCTTAGGTGCATAAGCAAATGGTTTAGCATAGAGAACAACTTCATAATCTGTCTTTGACTTCACTTTGAGCTCAGCACCCTTTATGCCCCAATGAAGATTTGTGGGAATATTGCATTTGGAATGCTTGGGTGGTGCATGAAGCTTGGCACTACATGCCTTTGCTCCATAGTTTCCATAATCAAAACCTTCCACTTCTACACTAAATTTCCCATTGTTTTTGGTGGCTCCATACCACTTTAGTTGCTTCTTACCTACCTTGCATGTTACTTGAACCACAGCACCTGCTCCATATATGTGTAATTATTAGTATAATCTTCATGAAGTACCCTATTTAATTCGAAGTTTTTCCTCGAAATAATACAGAGTATTCAAAACAATTAATTAACAATATTTCACTGTGCTAAGATTTTTACTAATTCCAAATCATCAGTTTAATGTTGTTTCATGGTATCATTTATAATCTTGTACCCCATATATGTAAATCATTTATAATGTTCAACCGGCGGGCGTAGCTCAACTGGTAGCGAGAGAGTGCCACAACGGTTCGGTACCAGGTTCAAATCTCGGCAACTGCGATGAGAGGTTACTATGCTAAAAAATGCATAGGGCCTCTACAACGGTTAGATTCCGGGTTAAATGTCTCACTCTCTATCTGTCAGATTGTGATTATCTATCAAAATTACAATCTAGTTAGCTTTTTTGCGTTTAAAACGCGTTTTAAACACATACCGTTTTTTTGAACAAAAAAAACGCATTTGAAACGAAAAATAATGTCGATCCGTTTAAAAAGGAAAAAAACTCCCACTTCCCGTATAAAACGTATATTTCTCGTATTTTACAAAAAATAAAAACATCATTTGATCACTTCAATGAATACATCAAATGAATGGGAGATTAACAATTGTTTAAAAGCCAAAAGAAAACCTCATCCCCGTGACCCCGTGTTTTTGTATTGTTACAATACAAAATATACAATTGTTAAATAATACTCCGTAAAATTAATTGCGTGATGACTAAAACTAGAATCCTAAAAGACTAAAATCTAAAATACTACTACGTATTAGATTTGTGATGTTCTTTTCCAAACAAACATATCAAAATTACGGTTTTCCTAAACATGACAATTTTTAGTATAAACTTTTACACATAAACAATAATAAGTGTAGCAGTCGCACAACTTTCTCATGCCATCCGCCATATAGGTGAAAATGACGAGTTTAACTTGAGTGCTATTTGATGATCATATAAAGATGATGATGATGTTAATTTGGTCTTATTCTATCATTATTATGCCTTATTTTATGACACTACTTTGTAAAATTATGTCTTGGACTTAATTACTCTGTACTATTTTTACTTTTGTCATCGACTTATGCAATTACGAATTATTCTTTTATGTAGTAATGTGATTTGCTACGTACTTCAATATGTGTACAATCTCATTTCTTTTTATTATATGTTATTTTATGAAGTATATAATTAAATGTTATTTTGGACTTGGTCATTATTTCTTTTTTGTCATGAACTTATGCTATTATGAATGCATTTTTTTATGGAGTAATGAGATATTATATTTGAATGTGCATGTATGTTGATTATCCTTTATGTACTATGTGTTTTTTTTACTGTAAAAACTAGTACAATAGTTTAATCATTCAAAATAAGACCCGTATTTTTGACCCGAATTTCTCTAAGAGATGACGTATTATACACGTATACGCATTTACACGTTTTATAAAAGTCAGTGTATTTTTTGCCGAATTTTTGACCATATTTTTTTGTTCAAGTTATCGAATAAAACACGTACGTATTAAACCACGTTTAATTCCCATACCGTATTTAACTAACTATTTATTTTATATTCTCCCAATGTACCGTCCGATCAGTGTTGGGAGGCCCCGGGGAACGAATGTTATCCTTTTTCGTACGGATTATTCAATATCTTTAAAAGAATAAAAATAAAGAATAGTTTGACTAGTAATACCATAGAGACCTAGAGACACACTTGCACACTTTATGTCTTGTCATAAAGAAAAAGCTAGCCAACTTACATCTTACTTACGGAGTATTTGTTTGAATATTTAGTACTCCGTATTTACACGGTAATCCCAAACTTTGAAAATAAATTGCACTTCTATAAGTTTATTAGTGTTGAATGTTGAATTTTCTCAAAGATGGCTTCCTTAAATTAATTCAACCGGAAGGTATATTACTAAAATAAATACTCTCTCCGGTCTTTAATTAACTTTACACTTTCATTTTTGGGTCGTCCCATATTAAACTTTACACTTCTTTATTTGCCTTATTTGACAAACAAATCTACAGCAAACAGTGTCAAACAGTGCCAAACAGTGTACTCTAAAGTAAAGTTAAATTTATTTTCTTAAAATGTGTGAAGTCAAAGTGTAAGCTAATTAAGGACCGGAGGGAGTATGAAAAACTATAAGAATGTAAACTTATTAATATCTATTGACTATATTATTTGATTAGTGTAGTATTAATTCTTGTGTTGAAAATGACCGCTGACCCTTTCCTTTATTTTTATCCATAAGCAAGTACTAAGTAGTAGTGATTGTTAGTACTAGTACTATTTAGATAATAATTTTGGGAAAGACTTCCAAATGATGAGCGACTTTTAACTCCAAATGATGTGATAATAATTTCCTTTTAATCCAAATCCACTTGAAAATGTTATAAGACGCTTTCATTATTGATTATTACGCGGAGCTAAGTAAATTGATCATTCAAAAAGGTGACTTTAAATCAGCCTTCTTAACATTACAGTACAATTTCATTTTGAACGGACATTACGGTACAAATTAAAGAATAAAAATTGCTCTAAATAAGAGGAATATTTTGAAATTTCAAAATAGGAGTATCATGATTTTTATTTGCTTAATAAGAGTAATCGGCCAAGTTTGGAAAAAAATGTCTTGTTTAAAGCCTAGTAATGCCAAACTTGACAGAAATTTACTCCTATTCAAGTAATAAAAAATATTATAGTCTTATTTTGGAATTTAAAAATAATTAAGGAATCAAAATATTATAGTCTCATTATAGTCTTATGCTATTAATTATTGAGCGGGCCGGGCATGCTAATACTTTTACCAAACGGTTGCGGGTTGCGTCGTTTGGAGGACCAGATTTCACTTGAAGATAAAGTTAATACTTCTACATAATATATTTAAATTTATAATAAAAATTAACTATAATAAAAATGAATTTGATACACAAAATAGATAACAGGAGTGGACATATAATTGACTAGAGACTAGTGATTAAGACAATTCATTTGGAAGGTAGCTAGATACGCGATGGGTGTGTTTTGTGTGGATAAATTCTTTTGAGTGTCTCAATTGAAGTAGTAGGAAACTATATCATGATGTTGAGCATAAATATTTTAAATCATTAACTGTTCATTTTTTAAACATATAATTAAATGTAACTAAAATTAAAATCGGCATTTTCTAATGTGAAGGTCAAATCCAACGAAAAGAGTGGATATTAGGGGGTGTTTGGAACTGATTCTGATTCTGCTTCTTTTTTAAAACAGAAACAGAATCAGTTTTCAGAAGCTGATCACCCACAACTTTTAAAAAAACTGATTTTAGAAGTAAATTAGAACATCAGAATCACTTCTGCACTTTTACCCAAACACTCCTAAAGGTCAGAAGCAGTTTTATGAATGACAAGCAGCTAATAAGTCCAAGAGATCAGAACTGGCTTCAATGTGCGGTTACGTATGTTGTTTTCCTTCGTCCCATATGCGAGTGAAATTGAAAAGTCCTATATTTTATTTTAGGACAATTTTACCCCTTTCATACTCACAAAAGTTTCTAATTTTACTTTTTAAGTATGCACACAAAAAATATGTATTTTTTTCTATTTTCTCATTTAATTCACCCGCAATTATTTGATTCGTAATACACTAATTGTCTAGTCTAGTTCAAGTCTAACATTGTTAATTTTCATGATAATTAATACTAGTATATATCATTAATTATTCTCCTGTCTAGTTCAACCTAAATTTATGATTCTATCCCGCTTTCAAGTATAAAATTGTTAATTTTCATGATAATTACTCCGTAATATTTAAACCTCACACGTAGTAGTATTACTTTAGAACCCCAAAACGATACTCGGTAATGAATACGAAATGCCTTAACTGTAGGAGTATAATATTTGTTCTATATTAGGGGCAACCTTTTTGAACTGGAATGAGATTTGAACATGTGACCTTCTCCATGATAGTGTCACAATAATCCATCATACCATAAGGTATTTGACAACTCTATAGAGAAATTAATTCGACTAATTACTAATGCGCTTTTGGTAAAAGTACGGAGTATTATTTTAATATTACTAATGCGAGGTATATCTAGAAAGTCAATTACAATTTAATACTATCTTCCCTTCCATAAAAATTATAACAGTTTGACTTTCACGATTGTCAACGCGTAATTTTGACTGTAATTATATTTATTTATGTATTAGTAAACATTAAAAAAGTTAATATATTGGAAATTTACATTAATATAAACTTATTAATATTTTTTACATAATATTTTTATTATATATATTATTAGAAAATCGTAGTCAAAATGATGTGAGTGAATAGTGCAGAAATTCCAATGTTGCAACATGGAGAAAGTACAAGAGAGTAATGAATACACAAAAGAAGTTGAATTTAATTGCGTAATTGAAGAGTATGATTAACTGTAGTTTTACCTTTGAGGTGTTTTTTGTCATGTGATTTGTGTGGGTTTTCCCAGTCATAGCACCGGATACAGTACACTTTTCCTACAACTTTAAGAATTAAGCCGTGATGACGTCCAGGTGGGGGTGGTGAAGTGTAGTAGTACGGCGGAGGAGGAGATCTAACTGGTGGAGGTGGAGAGTTGTAATGGTACGGAGGTGGAGGTGATTTCACCGGTGGTGGTGGAGAGTTGTAGTAATACGGTGGCGGTGGAGATTTCTTAGGAGGTGGGGGAGACTTGTAGTAGTAAGGTGGTGGTGGAGATTTATTGGGAGGTGGTGGAGAGTGGTAGTAATATGGTGGCGGTGGTGATTTTTTAGGAGGTGGTGGAGACTTGTAATAGTAGGGTGGCGGTGGAGATTTTTTAGGAGGTGGCGGGGAGTTGTAGTAATATGGGGGTGGTGGAGATTTTTTAGGAGGTGGTGGAGAATGGTAATAATATGGTGGCGGTGGAGACTTCTTAGGAGGTGGCGGAGAGTTGTAGTAATACGGTGGTGGTGGAGACTTCTTAGGAGGTGGCGGAGAATGGTAGTAATACGGTGGTGGTGGAGACTTGTTAGGTGGTGGCGGAGAATGGTAATAATATGGTGGCGGTGGAGACTTCTTAGGAGGTGGCGGAGAGTTGTAGTAATACGGCGGTGGTGGAGACTTGTTAGGAGGTGGCGGAGAATGGTAGTAATATGGTGGTGGTGGAGACTTGTTAGGTGGTGGCGTAGAATGGTAGTAATATGGTGGGAGTGGAGACTTCTTAGGAGGTGGCGGAGAGTTATAGTAATACGGTGGTGGTAGAGACTTCTTAGGAGGTGGCGGAGAGTTGTAGTAATACGGTGGTGGTGGAGACTTCTTAGGTGGTGGCGGAGAATGGTAGTAATATGGTGGTGGTGGAGACTTCTTAGGAGGTGGCGGAGAGTTGTAGTAATATGGTGGTGGTGGAGACTTCTTAGGTGGTGGAGGTGAGTGGTAGTAATATGGTGGTGGTGGGGACTTCTTAGGCGGTGGAGGTGAGTGGTAGTAATATGGTGGTGGCGGAGACTTCTTAGGCGGTGGCGGAGAATGGTAGTAATATGGTGGTGGCGGGGACTTCTTAGGTGGTGGTGGAGAATGGTAGTAATATGGTGGTGGCAGAGACTTTTTAGGAGGTGGTGGAGAATTATAGTAATAGGGAGGTGGAGGTGATTTTACCGGTGGTGGTGGGGAATTATAGTGATACGGTGGAGGCGGCGAAGGCGACGGAGGTGGAGGACTCTTATAATAATAAGGCGGTGGTTGAGAAGGAGAGGGCGGAGGCGGAGATGAGTAAATATAAGGATCCCCCGACACCACACTAAAAGCGGCTAACACGACAAGTACCGCCACGACGTGGCGTGGCATTAGACGACCCCTACCGGGGTCGCCGCCGTGAACAACCATCTCGTCTGCAGTAAGGAGCTAGCACCACCAGTGCCGGCGGCTGAACGAAAAAGGCACGTACTATATACCTACAAAATATGAAAGCTCAGCTTTGAGAGCAAGTTAAGTTAGTATCTTTGATGACGATTGGCTTCTCATACCCAAAGTATATATAGTGCAAATTTCACCCCAATTAGTTGTTGGTGTGGAGCTGTCCATTTGGGACCTATTCAATCAATCAAATTAATACTATATTCGTAACGTTTTTTCTTTGTTAGTCGATATTAGAAAAACAATATAAAAAGTAAAAGATTAAACTTCTCCCCAATATCGTAGTAATTACATTTCAAATAACAGCTGGACGTCCCAAATATTTTAACCCCATCTTAGGTCGTCACTTTCAAATTTCTTTTATTTCCAGTCTTTCTCTACCAACCCAGTGGTGTTCCTTCAATTAAACAAACGTATATATTTCCAGAGTTAGTCGAATGGCTTAATATATACTTACAAGCTACAGCATAAGTACATCCAGATCCATTTTAAATTAAGTTTCATGATGGTTTTTCATTCACATATATATGTGATGTTTATTTTCTCTTGCAAGTTGCAACACGTTCGTCTTGTACGTTAATACGTAGAATTATTTACTTTTGAATGAACTGATTATATGCGTCTGAGAGTTGCTAGCCTTTCTGATCTTTAGACAATGATCATTTAGAATCTAGAACACTTCGTATGTAGCAACGCAAATAGGCATGAAAATGTGTCGGACGGGTTACGGGTAGATACTAAAGTAATTGTCCCATATAGGACTAAAACAAAGTTGAAATGCAAAAATAAGACTTCTTATTTTTTTTCCCCAAATAGGACCAATTTAATCCTATTATGAAACATAAACAAATTCACATCCCAATTTTACCCATACGGTTATTTTATCTACCCTAGATCAACTTTCTCTCCAACCTCCGTATGCACCAAATTCGGATCTACTCCTAAGCTGCGCACCAGAAGTTTCTCCCCTCCGCCCCAGTAGTCGGTCGACTCTCTCTGATCTCTCTTCTTCCTTGTGCACGATCCATGGATTCCTCTCTGTACATCGTTGGCATAGATGCCGTTGCCGGCAGTGGAGGAGCTAAGGGGGGGGGGGGGGGGCAAGCGCCCCCGCTCCGACTAATTTTTTTTACTAGTATTACTTATAATATGTTTCTTGCCCCGGCTTCTTTTTTGATTTTAAAAACAATAAGTACAACTTAAGGTTATTTTAAGATGAAGTGTTAAAATAAATAAAAAAGTATTTTCAGAAAAAGTAAAAAAAATGAAATATAGAATAAAAGGGGATTAATGAGTCAATTAGACAAATGAGCATCAAGTCTAAGGCTAAGTAAAAAAAACGGGCATAAGTAGAAAAATGAAAAAAAAAACAATTCTAAAGCCCAAGCCACCTAGACAATCTTAAAGCCTAAGCCCAAAAATGAAAAAAATAACAATTCAAAACGTAATCACTAAAGTCTAAAGCCATTAAATGGGTTAAAATTTCAAAGCTTCATTAACAAAAGACCTAGGCAGTCGGCAGTCCCTTCCCACTCCGCCAAAAAAAATGAATCGAGCAGTTGAGAACGCAGGTAGGCAGCGAACGTGAGAACTGAGAAGCAGCATCGCCCGCTCCCTCTCCGACTTTACTCCCCAACAGAAATCTACCTTCCTTCTCCAGTTAGTTCTCATTATTATTATTATCATTATTATCATTTTAATTTAATAAATTTAAATTATTTATTAGTTGTTATTATTATTATTATCATTATTATTATTACTATTACTACTACTTTTTATTATTACCTTATTGTAGGTTATAGACCAGGTCAATCTGGAAATGGAGAATCGCTTTAGTGAGTCAAATACAGATTTACTCGCTTGTTTAGCTTGCCTTGATCCTAAAGATAATTTTTCCAATTTCTGTGAGTCAAAACTACTCAGTCTTGCGGAGTTATATTCATCTGATTTTTCAGTTGTTGAGCAAATGGAGCTTAAAGAACAACTCCAAGTTTGGATATATGAGATGAGAGGAAATGAAGCATTTTCCACTTTACAAAGTATTGGTGAAGTGTCTAAGAAGATGGTTGAGCTTACAGTTCACAAATCTTTTCACTTGGTCTATCGTCTTATTGAGTTGGCTCTAGTGTTACCAGTTGCAACAACCACAGTTGAAAGAGCTTTCTCAGCGATGAATATTATCAAGACAGATCTTCGCAATAAGATGGGAGATGACTATCTTACGGATTGCTTAGTATGCTACATCGAAAGAGACATTTTTCAAGCAATTGATAATGAAGCTATTATGCAGCATTTTCAAATTATGAAAACTCGTAGGATTGATTTGCCTAGGTTGCAGAAGTAAATCAAGTAGTATGTAATGAACTATAATTTTTTGTTAAATTATTACGCTATTGTTGTTCTTATTATATTTTGGACACGAACTTTAAAATTTTTAGTCTTTGGTTTGCCCCTCCTTGGACAAACCTCTGGCTCCGCCACTTGCCGCCACTCTCCCTCACGTCGTCGTCGCTGAGGTTCTCCTCCTTCTCCCTCTCCTTCTCCATCCCCTTCCCCATCTCCTTCTCCTTCTCCTTCTTATCTTCCTCCTATTTCTCTGTTTTGTTGGGACATTGACATTGATTTTGCAAATTTTCGAACTTTTACTTTGTATTTTCAGTTCTCGATTTTTTAGTTTTTTAAAAATTCCTGATTTTCCAAAATTTTGGATGATGTCTTTAGATTTTGCCAAGTTCTGCCAAGTTTATGGCAGAAATTTGTATAATGACAAGCGCATTATGGAATAAATGCGTTTCTGTAAAATGGTATTTCTATTTTTTATCATTAACTTCGTTTTCTAAATTCCGACTGTGATAACATGGTTATTCCATTATTTTTTTTATTTTCGAATATTTTTGCCAAATTTATGACAGTTTTGTGTTAATCATCTAACATAAATCTGCCAACTTCAAATCTGCCAACTTAATGGTTCGGTGGCGGAGGATGGTGGTTGTGCCAACAAGGGCAGATCCAGGTGGTGCCGGTGAGGGTGCCGGCGGGCGGTGGTTGCAGGCGGCGCAGACGAGGGTGGCTGCAGGCGGCTGCTGATAGGGTGGCTCAGGTCTTGCGAAACCTCCATTTTCCGTAAGAAGCAATTAATTAGACTTAAAGGATAAAATTGGAAAAGCAGACCCTTTTAAGTCTTACGAAACATTAGTTACTTTTCTAGTCTTATTTGTGCACATTAAACTAATTTTAGTCCTATATAGGTCATTAACTCTAGATAGTACTAAACCCAAACCCGCCTTGGTGATTTTATTAGGTGGACCCCATGAATAATTATAGGGTTATTTAACAAAATTAAAGTAAATGGAGTTTGAAATTCTAAAATAGGACTACTGTGTTTTTATTCCAGAAATGGGACTAACATGACAATATTTACTGTCATGTTGTAGGCGTGACTGCCAAATAGTTGCAGTACATTACATTTAATATGACCGTATTTATTACGTAGTATAGTTAATGATAGTATTTCAATATTTTTCATACATGACCCGCTCCGGGCAGAACCATTGCCCTAATTCAATTAGCAAGTATGTACACTACATGCACCATGAAAAAATATGGCTATTGGGACTTAATTATCAATTTCAAACCTTTTTGATAGCTCACCAGAATAGTGCTTGTCATATATACAGAGAAAGGAGAGTTATGTATAGAGAAAAGAGATATCTGGTATACTAATGATTTTCAAACCTTTTACATTTGCCTTAAAGGATGATCACATGTGTATTTATACTAGTAATAAATTTATACTAGTAATATATGATAGGTGCATTAAATGCACATATACATGTAATTAAGCACGTATATATATATGGGCTAAGCCCTACAAAGTGGAATAAATCGATGTGTGACGCCAATGACCGCTGAGTAGTGGACAAGGTGATCGAGGACGAAGGGCTTACGACCCTGATGAAACGGTTAGCAACACAAGAGGGGGGGGGGGGGGGGGGGGGGAGGGGTGAATTGTGTGTGTGTGGAACCGTGGCAGATTTTCACACAGTTCTAGTGTGGGGTTCAGGGAAATGCGAAATAGTAAAGTGCACAAGAATTTAACGAGGAAAAATCCCTTGGCTCAAAGGGATTAAAAAACCTCGACCTCCCTCAGAGGAATTTGAATAACTCCACTAAAAAGCCTTTGAATGATTACAAGGGAAACTCTCCTAGTCTACCCTTGAGCCACCCCAACTCTATCCTCTCTAGGAAGAGTTATGCATCTCTACCTTGCGGGTAGAGAGCCTCTCAGCTTTACAACAAAGCTTCTCACAACACACTAACCAACCCGAGGATGCTACATTTAGCCGATCCTCAAAACCCCAATTACAATATGAAGAAGGGAAAAAGAAACTCTGTCTGGAAATCCGTGAGCAGGTTCAGGTGCCTTGGACTTAGTAAATATTCTCGTGTATATTTCTCAATAGAAGCTCGGTTAAGCACACCATCTTCTTTCTTTTGATCTCGATATATATAAGCGGCTCACCACTGCACCGTTGCACTTTTCTTCCTTGGATGGTCAAGTCATTAAGTGCGAGACTTGCCTTGTTATTATTTTAAAATCCTTCCTTTTATGAGGAGATCTCATCTCTTTATCATTAATGTGGCGATCCTTGCTCAAAGTAAAGGCATGTGTATTATAGTAATAAATGGATGCACATACATGGAAGGAGTATATCATGCGTTCATGGAATTAAACTTACGTACCTTCAAATAACTAACAAGTCAAAGAATATGCAATCATGTACTTAACATATATGCAATGAGCCGTTAACCCTTATTGACCAATAATGCATGGAAAGGTTCCTTCTTAAAATAAAAATCTTGATAAAGTGAATGACCTTTTCAAATTAGTGATCACATAAAGAAAATATATTAGCTAGTGACCAAATAAATCATGCACCCATATACGGAAGATAATTAAATAAGCAGGTGCAAATTAATTCAAGCCAACTGTCCTTATATTACTAACAAGTCAAGATCCTTTCCAAAGGAAATTTAATATCTTAAATCAAGGATAAATCTTGAGGCAAGGGAATATTTATTTGACAATTATAAGT